AACATTTGTTGGTTACCCTTGCCTGCTCCTGATAACCTCCTCCCCTTCATATCTTGCATTAACTCTGGTGGTTGGACACAGCAAGCAAAATCCCCAACCAGGGGTAGTCGCATCCTGGACCTAATCTTCACAAATCGTCTTACGGTGACAGAGACACCAGTACGTGAACACTTTTCAGGCAGTGACCACAAAATGGTTCATTGCATGTTTAAATTAGAATGAACACAGACACTTCCTCCGCCAACAGTTGTCCCACACCACCAAATTAACTGGACATACCTACCAAATCTGATTCGTTTTCTGGACTGGTCTGATTTCTTTCTTTCGTCTGACCCCAACTAGCAGCGGATATTTATTATCAAAAAATTACCAGCTGCATCTACTCCCTAACTTCCGCTGTATCTACCCACCACCCAACCCAATTAGAGAATTCAAACACTAAATTTAACAAAATTTCTAAACGGTATCAAGCCACTCACGATTTCTCTCTCCTGATGCAGTTGCATGACCTCTCAAGAAAAATCCAGCTGAAAACGGCCAAACTACACAAAAATCAGGAACTCAGGGCTTTGTCCCATTCAAATCTAATATGGAAAATTACATAAAACTAGGAATAAAGTCACAAATCCTAGCATCTCACACCTAATTCTGCCTGGAAATATCTCTCAACTCCTGCCAGACAATCGCTGAAGCTCTAAATTCTACATTTACCTCCTCGTACATAAACGACTCATCCACCAATTTCCCCAGTATTCCACCAACCGCGACTGAATCTCTGACTACCATCAGTTTTACGGTAAATGACATTGATAAGCTCCTCCGAGCTACAAACCTTCCTCATATCCTGGGCCCGACTGACTACCGTCGGGAGCTATGCACTTCGGAGGGCCAGATATGCCGCTCCTTTTGTTAAAATTATTCAACCTCTCACTAACCAATGGTGTTGTCCCATCTCAATGGAAACGGTCCACTATTATTCCTCAGCACACCCTCCCCGTACTAGCTTACTTTTCTTAATTAATTACTTACTTACTCACTTACTTTTCCTTTCCCATCCTAATCTATCTTCGCATGCCTACGGGTTCTCTACTGTTTGCTGGAGGGATACCCGGACTTCCTTGTTAGCCTGTGACTGATCAGCCGGTGCTGCTTCCAACGGCAGCAAACAAGATTGGCGTGCCCGCCCCGCGGCCGTACTCCTACACCACCAAGGACCAATTAACTAAGTTTCGAAGCGTTACGAGACACACGTGTTACTTAGACGCAATAACCTGGACTATTATACTAGATCAAGCCGCAAGTCCTGTGACCTGTCCTATCCTGTCCTATCCTGTCCTGTCCTGAACTGCACTGAACTGAACTGAATTTAATGGCACAAGTGGCGTGCCACAAGGGTCGGTGTTAGGCCTGCTTCTATTTTTGTTGTTCATAAATGATCTAGCAGAAATTACCAGCTCACTTTGCTTCACCTTCGCTCATAATGTAAAGGTGGTTGGATCTGGTAAGAGCCGACTTAGAAGACGAAATTGCAAAGGTGGCCAAGTGGTCTCACACATTGGATCTGTCACTAAATGTAAAAAAAGTCAGTTGCTCTCTAGAACTGGGGAACCATTGGAGGCTCTCGGGAAATGGGGGCAATTCGAAGTAGGCACTGTACCCAGTGTAACTCCCGAATAGATCAACGAGCAACGCGTAGCCGAAATTGGATCCAAATACGTCAACAAAACGAACGATCCGGCAAATTTCTACGGTACTGCATTAATAAGCGATCAAATAAGCAAATAAAAACTGTACAAACCTCAAAGTGATCTCGAAACAACTTGTAAACAAGAGCCAAGTGTTACTGTGAGCGTAATTGAACAAATATGAATGGAAGAAAATGAGCCTGGGTAAGAATAGCACGCTCACCGTCACGCTGCACATGAACGAGCCAACTGTGAGCGCTCAAGTCGCGATTAAAACAAGTAAGATAAAAATTGAAGCAGATAAACAAACAAAGTCAAACGGTAGGATTGATGTGTAAATATACAAGGGGCGTGGAACGTCAAATGTCTATATGTATATGAGTCGGATGGTGTTTGGTGAATGGAACGTAATATTCACGAAATGTGAAACCGAGATGGAATGACTGTTCTAAACAGGAAGGATTTT